TAATGTTTAAATTTTATTGATATTTATTTATAATTAATAGTAAATATAAAATTAATATTAATGACGGTTATAATTGGAAAAAAAATGATAATAAGCTATCAAAATACTATTTTAAGTAACGTTTCAATAAGTTACCTTATGTGTATCCAAACATGTACCCAAAAAATAAGCTAACTTATTTTTACCAAACATAGCTTTGGCATTAACTGTTAAACATATTTTGGTTAATTATGTCACCCGGTTGTTTTATAATAAATATGTATAAAACCGATATTTTCTTCGTGTAAAAATAAGTCTTCATATTTCTATTTATGTTTGTCCCAAAATAAGTCTTAATTTGAATAATAAATAAGTAAATTCTTAAATATACTCTTAATTAATGCATAAATATTTAAGAGTTATAAAATAGATAGAAATTAAATAAGGCTAAAGTTGTCATTTGAGTAACTAAAGAGTGTAATAATTATATGTCTAAAATTATATACCATTTCAATTATAAACACTTATTTTTTTAAAGTGTGAGACGATCGTACACAAACACACACACCTTTTTAGCGTTAAAAAAGGTTTTTCCAACACAAATGTTGCTGGTATATACCATGTCACCAAAACGCTTTAACGATTAGCAGCAGAAGTACATTTCTTTTGAAGAGTAACCAAGGAATAATAAGCTGCAAAACTGCAACCGTATTGCAACTTTGGATCGTATTCAACCAATGCGCCACTACCACGCTCGTTCGTCCCACCATCATCTGCTCGAGTGCGTCTTTAACCACTTTCTCCCGACTGACTATCCAATGCGCTTCCGGCCTCGTTTAGTAAAACCATCCACCAATGTTATCCTTATAGCATATTTGAAAGAAATGATGGTAACAGAACAATCAATGTACGAGGTTATGACTGTCAAGCAAGGAAGTAGGGGGCTTCGTTAAAACAAATCAAGCCAATGGGGGGGGGGGGGGGAACCAGTCATATGCGACTCGTGAGAACTAAAACCATAAACACAATTCCTTTTCCTAAATTACTTAAAAAAGTTGAATTTTGAAGGGACTCCTTCCCGCACCCAACAATGTAATTTCATAAATATCTTTAATTGTTATAAATTTTCTCATTTTATTTTCTTCCATGTTTGGAAGAAAAGTTTAGAGAGGAAAATCAACATTATTTTTCTTTTTCTCTTAAAAAAAACTTGAAAACACAAGATTTTTTTTCTCTTTCCCTTCCTCTCCTTTAAAAAAGGGCTCGAAATCACAGGGACAACACATGCATGCGTTATTTAAAGTGATAACAATGAGCCATGTGTACATGTGACAAAAAAGAACGAAGGGAAAAAGGTAAAAATGTTTATGTTAAGAAATTTGAGAGCTTAAAGCAGGGGAGGATTTAGTTTATGTTGGTAGGGGTACTAGACCCCCAACAAACCCATCAATTTAAAAAAAAAAAAGACTATAAAAATATGTGTTTGGTAAATTTTTCTATTGTATGTCTAACAAGGCAAGGGCCTCTAACAAGAACAAGGCAAGGGCCCCCAACTTGATATCTTGATTGTTAATTGGTCCATTTGGAGTACACACTGATATTTTCGTTCGAAATGTAAAATATAAAAATTATACACCTCGATGAATTAGTAAAAAGTCAATTGAAAATCGACCTGAATAAGTTATCTTTATTCGGTTAACTGAACTGTTTAAGACGAAAAGGAAAATCCAAAACCGTTTTCATCCGGATGAATTATTTGGTTTTGAAAAAAAAATCTACACCCATAAGTGTGCCTCTAACTATAAAAGTTTATGTATCCACCACTCGCTCAAAGCAAAAGGAAAACCAATCAAAAGTGACGGGATATATTGATAAGAATCCAACTTCTCTCGAGAAATCATAAAGTTTAAACGTGCATAAATATCTGAAGAATGAAAAACAAAAGAAAAACGAGTTTGATAAAAACACTCAAACTTTTGATCGCAATGGCTCTCAATTATAACTCATGAACATGTTCACGTGAAATTCGATCCATATGAAATAGATTTTGTAATGCATGCCTAATTAAGTTAGAGCACAAACTTTAGTGTGATATCCTATCTGTCCAAGGTTTTATTTTAAATGTAAATAAAAAAATTGTGATGATTGAGCTTATCGGAATTGATTTTTTGCAGTCATAATTTTTCGAGATTAGTCCAGCATAACTTGAGACAACCTCTTAAAAAAAACTTTAGTGTGATAATTTGAAAGTTTTGAAAAATTACGATATTAACCGCATAATTATATCATTATAACTGTTAATAGTTAAATAAATATTATGATTTAATTTAAATTTATTTAGTGATAAGCACATTTCGCTAATTATGTTATGCTGATTAAGTCATCCAATTGTTTTAGAATAAATACGTATAATATATGTGTCCATATTAATTTTTATTTAAGTTTATTTCAAAATAAGTGTGCAATTTAAAAAAATAAATAACTAAATTCTTAGATGTACTATTAATTAATGTACAAATATTTAAGAGTTGTAAATAATGAAAAATTAAACAAAGGTAAAGTTGTTATTAAAATAACTAAAAGTGTAATAGTTATGCATCTCCAAAACTAGGGACGGACCCAGTGTATTGAATATGACGGCACGTGCCACCATTTCGTTCATTTGTGGTAGTGCAAAAAATTGTAGAGTCGTGAAAAGTATCATCGTACCAATTTGTTACGTGTTATCATATATATTTTGAAACTACAATAAAAATATAAGTTTTCCTTGGTAGAGTTGGTTTACAAGATTTCTCTTCTTACCTAGATATGAGTTCGAGTTCCTCTTAGTGTCATTTCTTAATTTTTAGCTTTTACTTTTAGATTTATTATCTTCTGAAAAAAAATTGCAATAAAAAACTTGAAAACAGAACTTTACATATGAAAAATAATGACATAATCAACAAACTATTGATAATTTTGTAAAAAACATCCCCATATTCGATTCTTATAGTCGAATAGTTCTCCACTTACAAAATTTTCCATGTATGGCTTTGTCTAAAACAATATGTCATTTTAACCGTAGACATTTATTTTGAGACGTATTCCATCCCCAAAAACTATATTTTATCTGCGACAAAAAAGATTTGTCTAAGGCACTTCGTTTCTTTTTGTCAAAGTTGCTTCTTTTTTTGTCTAACTCAAAGAAGAATTTTATGCCATAATAATTAAAATATGATAACAATTTATCATTAACATCAAACTAGGATTAATTATTCGACAATTTTGAATCCCGTTACATATAACCCTAAACTACGTCAACCATTTTGGTGGTAAAATGGGGTTTTCACAACACAAATGTTGCTAGAATCTACCATGTCACCAAAATGCTTAATTTAGTGGTTAGCAGAATTAGGCTTTTGAAGAGTGACCAAGTTATAATAAGCTCCACTCGCCCCTTTCCCTAGCAACGAACCATGGTTCCCTTTCTCCACCACCTTCCCTTTCTCCAAAACCGCAATCGTATCGCAACTTTGGATCGTACTCAGCCGGTGCGCCACCACCACGCTCGTCCGCCCCACCAACATCCGCTCCAGTGCGTCTTGAACCACTTTCTCCGACTGACTATCCAACGCGCTCGTGGCCTCGTCTAGTAACAGAATTGCGGGGTTTTTCAGTATGGCACGAGCTATAGCAATGCGTTGCTTTTGTCCTCCGGAGAGTTGGACCCCTCGATCTCCGCACCATGTATCGTACCCGTCTTTCAAAACCGCTATGAAATCATGAGCATTGGCTGCTTTTGCAGCTTCGATGATCTCCGATTCCGAAACTTCCTCTGATGCCCCGTAGATGATGTTTTCGTGTATAGTACCAGCGAATAATGTCGGTTCTTGGCTCACTAGTGCGAAGTATTTCCTTAGAGTTCTTAAATGGTACGACTTTATATCTCTTCCATCGACTTTAACAACACCTTTCATCGGATCGTAAAAACGTTCGATTAACCCGATTATGGTCGACTTGCCGGACCCACTTTGTCCAACTAATGCAGTTGATTTTCCGGCTTCGATATTGATTGAGAAACGGTTAAAGATCATGACATCAGGTCGAGAAGGGTAAGCGAAGTAAACGTCACGTAACTCTACATGGCCTGTAATGATCTCCGGCTTTTTACCATCGGGGTCCTCGGGTTCGATCAAGGTGTAACGGTCCAATACTGCAAACACAGACCGAACCGCATCGGACCCTTTGGCTAGATCATTTGTCATGGTTCCAGCATCTGCGATGACCCTGCCGGTGCTTACCAAGATCATAAATGTCTGGAAGAGTGCTTTTGCCCCGAGATGACCATCGCTAATCAATTTCCCACCGTACCAAAAGTCTAGAGCCCAAGTACAAGCCATAAGGCTTTGAGAGAACCCGAGCCCGATTCCAGCATACCAAGCTTGCCGAATGCTTTCCCGCATTGGCGCTTTTTGGGTTTCTTGGAGCATTTTCAGGATTCGTGCTTGAGATGAAAAGGCGGTGACAGTACGCAGATTTGAAACCGCTTCGGCTGCGAGCTTGCTGCTTTCGTCTTGTGATTTCATGGCTTTTTGCGACATGTTCTTTAATAAAACTCGTTTGCAATAGAAGCAAACGATTATAATCGGCTGAACTGCGATCATAACCACCGCTAATCTCCAAGCAATCACCAACCCCATCGTGCAAGCAATCATCACTGCCGAGAACGTTTGAATTAGAAGCGCGGATCTATCGCCAACCAACGATCTCACCTGCAAAATTATCGCTCACATGATCGTTCGCTCTAAATGCAAAAAGAACCATTTCTTTTCGAGAAATACTCGATCGTTTACAATAATGAAATACCATCAACTAAACGTAAATTCCATACCACGTTGGCATCTTTCGCGAGCCTCGAACAGATGGCTCCGCTCGCATTCTCATCCTGATCGAACCACCCAATTTCGAAGGTGAGTATCTTCGACAACATCCGTTCTCGGACCCTCTTTGTTAAGTACTCACCCATGGCTGCAAAATTGTAATGCTGAATGATGTTGATTACCATCGAAAAAACCCCCAATCCCGCAAAACACAATGCATAAATCATCGTTTTGTGCTTGATCTCATCGTGATCAGCCAAGAAATACACCGATATCATCGACCCCATTGCGAATGCATAAACCGGCTGAACTGCACCAAATAGAACAGCTCCTACACTCCCAAACAACGCTTCCTTCCATTCAGGAGCGTTCATCGCTAAAAGCCGCTTAATGGACGGTACCGGAAATTCTTCGTTGGCCAAGTTCGGGTTTTCACCGTGGTTGACCGAGTTTATAGAGCTCGAGCGGCTGACTATCGAGTGTCGACGGCTGCTCGTGTTGTGGACGTCGAATGCCGATGATGGTCCGAGTGGGAAATGGTTGGTGGGTTCGTCGTGTGGTTTGGTTTCTTGGAGGCGGACGAGGGATGTGTAGAACCCGTTTTCGAGTTGGATGAGTTCGTTGTGAGAGCCCGACTCGACCACCTGACCGTTGTTGACGACGGCTATTACGTCGGCGTTTCGTATTGTGGTGAGACGATGAGCTACGACGATGGTGGTCCGACCAACGGAGGCTTGATCGAGTGCCTCCTGAACGACTCGTTCTGATTCCGAGTCGAGGGCACTTGTCGCCTCGTCCAAGAGAAGAATACGAGGCGACTTGATTATTGCACGAGCAATTGCAATTCTTTGCTTTTGCCCACCGGACATTTGAACTCCTCGTTCCCCGACCTGTTGTTTACCACAAATTAAAACTTATATTATAATACGATGAAAATCAAGGCAATTACATAATTTGATATTTAGGCAAAGTTTGGTACACAGACCCGATCAGATAGAACAGGACGGAATGAACAACACTAATTATCTGTCCTATGTTTAATACGATTAGGACAAGACATGACAAAACTGCTAAAATGACCCTATTACTTCTAAATGTTGTTCAATGTTAATTTATATCATATAATGATTGTAACCGACAATAAATCAACCAAAAATATATTTAAATATTTAATCTATGATATCAATATTTTCTTTAACATTCCAAGACTACATGTAAATAACATTTGTCATACCACAAATTCTAAATACACAAATAATTTAAAAAGTTTAAACACATCAATTGTAAATAACATTTGTCACGTCATCATCAAAAGTTTAACAAAGAATGGAGGCAATATTGTAATTAAATTAGGTTTGTATTTTGATATCAAATAATAAAGACAATATTGTAATCTCATTAAACTTAAAAAATTATATTATGTTATTTTTTCAAATTTATATTTTATTCAAAAATAAAAACATTATTGTTTTCTTAAAATCACATAAAATCAGATTCTGACATCGATAGAGATAAGAATAAAACAAAATATTAACATCGACATGTATCTCGCTACATTATACGAGTATCTTTTTCATACTTCAAAACAGATACAAAATTAAATATAATATATATATATATATATATTTAAATATTTCAAAATTTATTTAACATACTTTTATATTATAAGATAAAAATAAAATGCCAAGCTTCCTGGGATGTGTTACATTACCGGTATACATATCTAAAACTAAATAAGACACTCGTTTCTTTTTACAGATATTATAAAAAGTAAAAACATGGCTTCTTAATTTAATAAAGCAACCACTCCATGTGTATTCTTTTTAAGCATGAAGAATTATTATAAATTATAAAATATAAATAAATTTTAAGAAATTCGAATAAAATAATCAATTTTTTTACGTAAATAGGAATCCTTAAACAAATTCATGTAATTTTGTTTCTCTTTATAACTTGGAACCGAGTTTACTTCAATGCATAAACTAATAGAAAAATGAAAATTCAACTGAAAAAATGAATTTAGTTTAAAAGATTGATGATTTTAATCAATTTTAATTTAATTTAAGAAAAAGCAATAAAACTAATAATCTAAAACATAACTTGCTTTATCTTTTGATATTAAAAAAAAGGCATAAATTAGTGAGTTTAGACTTTAGAGTGGACAATTGTAACATGCGGAAAGAAAGGGAAAGGTTGAGAAAAAAATGCATTTTACGGTTAAAATAATGTTTGGAAAGTCGTGATTCAGAGTTTTTGGTGCAACTCCATGTTTCCTTTTCGATTAATTTATGCACAAAAAAGGGATCTTTCAACCCAAGAATCAACAGACGCAATCATGAATCACTACAATAGAATTCCCCCTTTGTACTTGTTATTCTTATCTTCATCGGGACTCTTTTTCATCAACCTTCCCCCCTTTTTTTTGGGGGTTTCGTTTTAATCTTAAATCACCGTCTCAACTATTATCAGTTTTACACGACTTACAACTTATATTGTTTGTTGTATATGATTAAAAAACAAAAATCGTAATCTCTTGCGTCTACGTACAAAAAGCAAGCCAAAGTTGTAGGCTACAAACCCACACGCCTATTTCGCAACTTTCAACACCTCAAGGAAAAAAGTATTTTGTGGCACTGATTTACGGTTTTAGTGATTTTAAAGTAAATATAATTATGAATGGTAACTCTTCGAGGTTTCTCAGCCAATTTATTTATTTTTTGAGTCCAATATTATTAAAAACTCAATACGAAGCACTTTTCATGTCTTGTAAAACAATAAATGTGAAAACACATTATTTATATAGTATTGTTTCATACATGTCATATGAAAACTGATTTCTATATGAACCATATGATTTTATTATTGGAAAATTAGTTAAAACATTCATTTTTAGACATCTCTTAGCCAATTCCCTCTCAATATTTCAAAAATGTCAGTAGGTCTGTAAGTAACACCTCCTCAACTCGCGGAGGGGTAAAAATATAAATTTATGAACACTTCCACAAGTGATGGAGGTGCTACTTGCATATCTATTTGGTCCGGAGTTATTTATGAAACTAGTTACTTTTTTAAATTTAGAAAGAGAAATAACTAAAAGATTGAATTGAATTTTTATTATTATTATTATTATTTATTTATCAAATATTCTCTGGAAAAGATTTAAGCATTTAAATAACGAGATTTCTGCATTTGAACAATTTCATGGTTGTTGCTATGAATATTAAAAGATATAAAGGTGGGAAACAGAACCTGAGTGTCGTAGGCCTGAGGCAACTGAGATATGAAGTTATGAGCATTTGAAGCTTTCGCAGCTTCAATCACTTCTTCCATGGCGGCATCTTCTTTGCCGAAAATTATGTTTTCTTTAATGGTGGTTGCAAATAAAGCAGGCTCTTGACTTACCAAACCCATTTGTGATCTAAGCCATTTTAGTTGAAGTTTATCGATGCTCATCCCGTCTACATAAATCTCTCCTCCTTGAGGATCGTAAAACCTCTGCAACAATGCAATCACCGTCGATTTACCAGAACCACTCCCACCGACCAACGCCACCGTCCTCCCTGCCGGAACTTTGAAGTTGAAGGCTTTGAATATCACTGATTCCGGCCTCGACGGGTATGCAAAGTTTACGTTTTTGAATTCGACTTCGCCGGAAACTTCTTGTAATATCTCCCCTTCCATGCTATCGGAATCAATCTCCGGGACTCTTTTGATCATTTCTCTTATGCGTTCGCTAGCAGCGATTGCATCCGAAAAATACTTGACGTTGGATAATCCAGAACCCAATGATCTGTCATTATCATATTTAATTATATTCTTATAATCCATCATTGAAAAAGATGCAAAATGAGCTATGACCTCAATAAGAAAATAAAGTCAAACGCACCATTATTAGGGTTTTGATTTCATGTTGATAAATCCAATCGAAAATATATCACAAAAAACAAAAAGGATTGTTGACTCTTTCCATTTTTTCCTCGTAAAATGTTTAGTTTGTTTCAAAATCGAAGACCCCAAATTTGGGTGTATGCACTATGCAGAAATCAGAATGCAGGTAACCTGTTTGATGAAATGCCGGACAGAAACAAAAATAACTTACAGTCCACCAATGGCGACGGCAGCTCCAACAGCAAACACGGTTCCACCGTTAGCGCCATGGTACATCACCAATCGACTACCGTACCATGACAAGAAAGACCAAACGGCAAAAACGACACCGTTGCTACCAATTGTCACTCCTTTAGCCAAACCTTGCTTTAAACCCAACTTCACAGTTCCTTCTAAAGCAGAAGAGTATTCCGTTATCGTCTTATTTTCACCCACAAAAGAATAAACTGTCCTCACTGAAGAAATCGCCTGCTCCGCCACCGTACCAGCCTTATTATACTCCTCCCTGATCTTTCTTGATAAGCTCATCAGAACCCTTCCATAGATCAAACCTGGTATAACTAAAAGTAGGATGAATGGAAGCCCAACAATTGCTAGCCTCCATAGTAATATAAATCCCACAACATAAGCCCCACCAAAAATCGACACATTCATCACGAACACTGGCACCTGCAAAATTACCGTTAAAAAAACTTAACCCAATTGATCATCGGAATAAATGGCGTTCGAGTTGAATCGCCGCCGGCGATTTACCTTTTCACTGATGACCTCTTGAATGAGAAGGCTATCACTGGAAACACTGGTAATGATCTCCGCCGTGCTTGTTACATTCAAATCAAAATAACCCACTTCTTGCCGTAAAACGGCTTTTAAATAAGTTGATCTTAATCTTGATGCTTGCCTTTCTGCTGTTCTTGCCCAGCAATACCCCTCTGCAACAAAACACATTTTTTAAATTTAATCCTCATATAACATAACCAATTCGATCGTTTGTTTAAATGATTAGAATCCCGTATCGGAAGCTCCGGCGAAACCATATCGGGTATATGTTAATCGGCCGGAAAGTTTTTCGTCGGTAACCATTTTTTTCCCCTAGTAAATGGCCGGAAAAGTAATTTATATTGACATAAAATTAGAATCTAAGCAGCACCCTACCAAGAAAACATGCTACCCATATCCCAATTGCCATATAACAGAGATTTACTGCATTCTGTAAACAAGAATCAAAACCGATTTAGATTTATTACTTATAGAATAATAAATATAAACGTGTATATGTGTGTGTGTGTGTGTGTGTAATATAGACCTCGTTAATTTTGTCGGTGAAGACATTTGTGGAAACAGTGGCAGAGTCTCCGATATCATTCATGATTGTGCTGGTGATAAACAACATCGTCGGCATCGCAATTCCGTCTCCGACGGCGCCAAAAAACCCAAGAACCATCAGAAAGATGTCAACACGGTCGGCATGCATAAAAATCGATCGGAAAGATCCATTGCTGAGCCTTTTGTTAGTCTCTGTGCTGTTTTTACTCATATTAAGAACAAAAATTATGCGACTGTAAGGAGGCAGGAGTGAGAAGAAGGTGGAAGGAAGCACAGAGACGGAAGACAAATCGAAGATTTAAGGTAAGCGGGAGGGACGATGTGTATTTATACGTGCGCCAAATGTATTAGAAAACCGGGAGACGTTAGCGTGTGGAGGGTTGTATGGTAACTATGGTGTGGTTCAATGAATTAAAATTAAGTTTTGACTTTCTAATATTATTATACTTTTGGTAATAGATTAATAACTCCAAGTGTTTTCGTCACTAGTGACGATTTTTATAAACCATATAAAATCATTATTTTTCTTAAATTGAAGTGAGATATTATGTTAAAATATGTTATTAATTATGTCTAGAATTCGATGGTCTCAAGAGAATTCGTTTTTATTACTTTTTATTGTTATAAAAAACAAAGCAAACAAGAGAATATAAAGGGCTAGGAAATCTGCTAGACAAGGAAACAGAATAACTAAACAAGGAAACAGAATAACGGAAAGGCTATAAACAAGGAAACGGAATAACACCAAATCTCTATACTCCCCCTCAAGATGGAGCATGTAAATCTTGAATGCTCATCTTGCTAAGTAACGAGTGTAGCTGCTGAGTTCCGAGCCCTTTAGTAAGCAGGTCCGCAAGCTGCATCTTGCTGTCAATCGGCATAGTCACAATCTCTTTTGACTCGACCCTTTCGCGAACAAAGAAACAGTCCATTTCAACATGTTTCGTCCGTTCATGAAAAACGGGATTGTTTGCAATATGTCTTGCCGCCTGGTTGTCACAGAACATAGCTGTAGGAGAAGTAAGGTAGACTTGTAGGTCTTTGAGCAACCAACGAACCCAGAGAACCTCACTAACCGTGGAGGCCATGGCCCTATATTCGGCCTCCGCTGAAGACCGGGAGACAACCGACTGTTTCTTGGTCTTCCATGAAATGGGAGCACCACCTAAGAGGAGAATATACCCAGTTCGGGAACGTCGCGTGTAGGGGCAACCGAGCCAGTCGGAGTCGCAGTAAGCAGGCAAGACAGGTTCCCCTTTGTTCGGTAAAAGGATGCCCTGTCCTGGTGTTCCTTTTAAATATCGTAGAACACGGTGTGCTGCCTCCAAGTGATTATGTCTGGGATCGGCGACAAATTGGCTCAAAACGTTGACCGCATAAGTGATATCGGGTCGAGTGGCTTGGAGATATAACAGTCTGCCAATCAGACGCCGATATTGGCTGGCATCAACCGGGTCTTCCTGTTCTCCCTTATCAAGTTTTAATCCATGTTCAAAAGGAAAGGCACTAGGGCGACAKCCCAACATTCCGCTATCATCGAGAATGTCTAGAGTATATTTCCGTTGGCTCAAAACCAAACCATCGGCTGTTTTTGCAACCTCGATGCCAAGGAAGTATTTCAAGGGTCCTAGATTCTTGATGCTGAACTCATTGTCGAGGTGCTTCTTTGTATCTTCAATTTTCACACGATCATTCCCGACAATGATAACATCGTCCACGTAAATTAGAATGGCAACATAAGAGTTGTCCTTTTGATGAGTGAACAAGGAGCGATAAGCTTTTGACTGTTGGAAACTCAGACCGATTAGAAATTTGGTAAATTTTTGGTACCAGTTTCTTGAGGCCTGCTTGAGACCGTATAGAGATTTGCGGAGACGACAAACTCTTGTCTCATTTTCTTTGGAGAAACCTTGAGGAATCTTCATGTATACTTCCTCATCTAAATCTCCATGCAAGAAGGCATTATTCACATCTAGTTGGTGAATGATCCAATTTTTCTTGGCGGCAACGGATAATAAGGTTCGAACGGTCACCAATTTAGCTACCGGAGCGAAAGTGTCATGGTAATCCAYGCCTTCCATTTGTGTAAAACCTTTGGCGACAAGTCTCGCTTTATATCTATCGACCTCGCCATTCGGCTTGTACTTTGTCTTATAAACCCATTTAGAGTCTATGGCTCGTTTCCCGTCGGGTAAGGATTCAAGTGTCCACGTTCCATTTTTCTCAAGAGCTTTAATCTCAATTTGCATGGCCTCTCTCCACCGTTTATCCTGTGCAGCTTGTTGGAAACACTTCGGCTCATCATGAGAACTGATGGCCGTTAAGAAGGCTTTATGTGAATCAGAAAAATTATTGTATGAAACAAAATGAGAGATGGGGTGTACCGTCGAGGCAGCGTGATTGGAAACGGGTTGTGAATGATCGACCGAAGGGGGGAGCTTCACAAGAAAATCGTTGAACCGTGTTGGTTGAGATCGAGTTCTTTTGCTCCTTGCCTCAGTAAGGATGGGTTGTTCCACTGACTCACTTTMTTCCTGTTGGGAACTCAAGTTGGTGATGTTTGGTTCAATAACCGGATCGGTTTCTTGGTTGGTGGCCTGCACACCCTCTGTGACATTATGGTCTTCATGATCCTCAGTTCTTACATTGGGTTTGCTAACTTGAGTTGGGACAGGATCATCAAATATTGGGTTAGCAGGAAGTTTAATGGGCTCAGGCCCATCATTGGTCGCATCAATTTGTTCGAATTTCTTGAAAGGAAAGTTGTCTTCACAGAAGTGAACATCTCTGCTTACCACAATTTTCTTGCTTTCAATGTCATAGACTTTATATCCCTTAGTCCCTTGGGGGTAGCCTAAGAATACCCCTGGTTTGCCTTTCTCTTCAAATTTGTCTCCATTGGTGTTGGTGTTTTTGTAGTAGGCTAAACATCCGAAGATTCTCATGTGTTCATACTTCGGCTTTTGATTCCAAACCAGCTCAAAAGGCGTTTTGTTCTTGATGACCTTGGAAGGGAGACGATTTATAATGTACGCAGCGGTTAAAATGCACTCTCCCCAAAATTTCTTTGGAAGGTTTGCTTCAAATCTCAATGCCCGGGCTGTTTCAAGGAGGTGTCTATGTTTCCTTTCCACGACCCCATTTTGTTGTGGGGTGTGTGGACAGGTAGTTTCCAATAGGATCCCCTTTTTATTATAAAAGTCCATCATAGAGTTAGACGTAAACTCGCCACCATTGTCGCATCTAACTCTTTTAATTTGTTTTCCGAATTGCACTTCCACCATTTTATGAAAATTCATTAAACACTCGCTAGCATCACTTTTGTGTTTAATTAGGAAGATCCATACCGATCTACTGTAATCGTCTACTATGGTGAGGAAAAWTTTTGCCCGTGTGTAAGATGGTACGCGGTAACCACCCCAAATGTCACAGTGAATTAACTCAAAGGAATTGCAAGTTTTTATTATGCTAACTGGAAAAGGTGTTCGAGCATGTTTAGCCTTTGCACAAGAATCACAAATGCTACTACTGGATTCAATAGAATTACTTTTWAGAAAATCTACRTTTGATAACTTTCCTTTTGATGCATGACCTAACCTCTTGTGCCAAATTTCAGATGTAGTCATCATAGCTCTTCTATCTTCTTTGATGACRCTCATCCGGTACAACCCCCTTTGGCATCTACCCGCTCCAATCAAGCTCCTCGTGAGTAACCTCTGCATGACACAAAAGTCAGGAAAAAAGGTTATGGCACATTGCAAGTCTTTGCTCAATCGRCTAACGGAAAGGAGATTGCACTTAAAATTCGGTACATAAAGAACCCCATTTATTTTAACTCCCCCTGAAAGGGTATACTCGCCCCTTCCTTCAACAGGAATGGCTTCACCGTTTGGTATAATCACCGGTGCTTCGAGGTTGGTCTTCTTTTTATTTTCAAGAAGATCGGGACGATGGGTTATATGTTCAGTGCAACCCGAATCTACAACCCAGTCATCATCCTCGTCCCTTTTACCTGTCATGTAGGCCACAGGCTTTTGTTCAGCGTTGGATCCAGAAAAATGCTCGACGAACATGCGGTACTGCTCATCGGTCAAACCAGGAATAGCGCTTGACCCGGTCTCAACGCATGATGCTTTGGTTTTAACCTTT